GTTGGACATGGAGCCTGAACTCTGGACCTGGGTGCGGTCCCTCAGCTCTTCAGCTCAAGGCGACCACTCTACCACTTGAGCCACAGCACCACTCCTGGCTTTTTCTGCTTATGTGATGCTGAGGAATCGAACTCAGGGCCTCATGCATGCAAGGCAAGCACTCTACCACTAAGCCACTAGGATGACTAGGATTGTGTACATTTGAGTTAAAATCCTGCGGAGTGCGGGTGGCTCAAGCCTATAATCCTAGCTACTCAGGAGGCTGAGATCTGAGGATTGTGGTCCATAGCCAGCCTGGGCAGGAAAGTCCGTGAGACTCTTACCTACAATAAACCATGAGAAAACTGGAAGTAGCACTGTGGCTCAAGTGGTAGAGTGCTCACCTTGAACTGAAGAGCTTAGGGACAGAGCTTAGGGACAGCCCAGGCCCAGAGTTCAAACCCCACAACAACAACAACAACAAACCCATGAAGGCCAAAATCCATTGAAACGGCAGTACCAAAATAGTACACTGAGTACCATGACAAAATGATATCTTTGGAGGCCACTGGCATTTTCTAATTACATGTCAGGCAATCCATGGCATGCTTTCCATAGATCATTTCTTTGAATCACTCTATTTCATAGAAGCAGTACTTAAGAACAAAACCTTTGCCTAATATCAGAACTGCACCTTAAAATCAACCAGCCTGCGCAAGGTGCACTGGGTACTGCCTATAGCACCAACTACTCAGGAGGATTACTTGCTTGCAAGTTCAAGACTCAGGACGGGCATAAAAGAAAAAAAATCTGGAAAGCCATGAGGCAGAGAGTACAAATCAGAGGCCAGAGCCCAGTGCAAGTGTAGGGCAGGAGCAAAAGAGTGACACAGACCAATTTGCAAATTTAGGCAGGGCATGCCATACAGGGCAGGGCAGTGCATGCAGCAAGCTGGAGCCTGCTCCTCCTCACTGTAGGAAGTGACTGTTAAACTGTAGGGCTTGGGAGCTGATTGGCTTTACAATCGGTGGGAGTATTTATACCATTGAAAGTGGCAAACGCTACATCCCAGAGCTTTTCTGTTCCCCAACAACCAGTTGTTAAAATGGTTACCACCACATTGACATCATAGCTTGTAAGCTCCCGTGAGCAATTTACATTTCAGTCCAAGTTGGATGTAAGCAATTGCAATATTTTAAGCAAATGGATCAAATGATTCCTTTGTGGTGTGTGTGTGTGTGTGTGTGTGTGTGTGTGTGTGTGTGTGTGTGTGTGGTTTAATCGGAGCTAAGAATCTCTAACAACTTTTCTTTGTGGGCTGGCTTCGAACTGCGATCCTCAGATCTCAGACTCCTGAGTAGGTAGGATTACAGACGTAAGCCACCAGTGCCCAGCTAAATGGATTCATTTTTATAAATCATTGCAGAGAATGGTCTAGGGAAGCAGAAGGCAAGGAGCCACTTAAGAAGTAAATACAGAGGGGGAGGATGCGAAGGGATGGGAAGGAGAAACAAAGGAGGAGGCTACAATGCTTGATAAGAAATGTACTCATTATCTTGCCCATGTAATTGTAACCCTTCTGTACAGTATTTTCACAATAAAAAAAAAAAAAGAAGCAAATACTAGCTGGGCACTGGTGACTCATGCCTGTAATCCTAGCTACTTAGAAGGCTGAGATCTGTGGATAACAGTTCAAAGCCAGCCTAAGTAGGAAATCCATGAGACTCTTATCCCCAATTAACTACCAGAAAACCAGAAGTGGAACTGTAGCCCAAAGTGGTAGAGCACTAGCCTTGAGCAAAAGAGCTCCGGGTCAGCACCTAGGCCTATGACAGACACAAAAATAAGAAGCAACTACTACACTGGTCCACATGAGCATGGATGGTGGTTTGTCAGAGGAGGAGTGCAGTGAAGACATTTGATTTGTTTTTTTTTTTTTTTTTTTTGGGTCCGATCGTGGGGCCTGAACTCTGGGCCTGGGCACTGTCACTCAGCTCTTCAACTCAAGGCTAGCGCTCTACCACTTGAGCCACAGCGCCACTTCCGGCTTTTTTCTTTTTGCTTATGTGGTGCTGAGGAATCGAACCCAGGGCCTTGAGCATGCAAGGCAAGCGCTCTACCACTGAGCCACCTTCCCAGCCCCCAGTGAAGACATTTGAAAGACTGTTAATGTCTCAGACTAAATATAGATGGCCCTGTGTTTTTTAATCAAAAATTGATTGTGAGCCAGGTGCCAGTGGCTCTTGCCTGTAATCCTAACTACTCAAGAGGCTGAGATCTGAAGATTGCAGTTCAAAGCCAGCCTGGGCAAGAAAGTCCCTATATGACTCTAACCTCCAATGAACCACCAAAAAGCTGCAGATGGAGTGGCTCAAGTGGTAGAGCACCAGCCTTGAGCAAAAAGAACTTCAGGGACAGTGCCTAAGCCCCGAGTTCAAGCCCTAGACCCAGCACACACACACAAAAGAGTAACTCAAAGATGCAAAGGTGAGAGGGAGGCTGCCACACTGTTGGAATTCATGGTATCTTATGATAGGGTTTATTGGCTGTTCTTATAGGAATAGGTCATGAAGAGAGACTAAAGTCTAATTTGAGCAAGATGACAACTCATTGCCAGGGCTGTGCAGCAGCAGGGAGTGTGACAGCATGTCCTGAGAGGACAAGAGGTAGGTAGCTGATGGGAGGCACAGGTTATTTGAAGCCACTGGGGCCAGGATCCTAGAGTATAGATTGCGGTAGACCAGAAGGCAGAGCACATGACTTCTGCTTCCACTACACTCGGCACAGGCTTTAATGAATTCATACTTCTCATGATCTTGGGTTTTCACCTGTAAAATGAAGTAGTTAGACTAGAGGATCCTGGGATTCCTAACACATTGTAGTCTGTACTTAAGGATTCTGGAGTCTCAGGACTTAAGAGTAGGATGTAGAAGGACAGCAATAAAGATCTAGAGGTGGAGCTCATGGCTAGAACACTAGCCAAGCATCATGAAGCCCTGGATTCCATCTCTAGCGCTCAGAGAGGGACGCAGAAAAGGTAAGGGGGATGGGAGGGAGGAAGGGAGAGAGTGAGGGAGGCAGGGAAAGAAGGAGGTAGGGAGGGGGGAAAGAAGGGATGAAGGGAGGGAGATAGAAGGGCACAGAAGGGGGAAGGGAAGGAAGAAAAGAGGGAAGGAAAGAAAGAAGTGGAAGAATAAAAGGAAGGAAGGAAGCCAGGCATTGGTGGCTCATACCACTAGCTACTTAGGAGGCTAAGATCTGATAGCAAGGTTCAAAGTCAACCCCAGGCAGGAAAGTCACTGAGCCTCTAATCTCCAATTAACCACTCAAAAACCAGTGTGCAGCTGGGTGCTGGAGGCTCACACCTGTAATCCTAGCTACTCAGGAGGCTGAGATCTGAGGATCTCAGTTTAAAGCCAGCTGGGGCAGGAAAAGTCCGTGAGACTCTTACCTAGAATAAACCACTCAGAAAACCGGAAGTGTCTCTGTGACTCAAGTGGTAAAGTGCTAGCCTTGAACTGAGGGACAGTGCCCAGGCCCAGCATTCAAGCCCTATGACCAAAACAAAGAACAAAAAACCCCCACAGGTCCTGGGGTTTGAACTCTAGGCCTGAGCACCCTTTGCTCGAGGGGAGCGCTCTACCACTTGAGCCACAGCACCATTTTCAGCCTTTGCTATGATTAATTGGAGATGAGTGTCACAGATTTTCCTGCCCAAGCTGGCTTCAAACCACAATCCTCAGATCTGAGCCTTCTGATGTAACTAGGATTCCAGGTGTGAGCCACCAGCTCGTGGCTTTTTATATTATTATTATTATCTAACCCAGACATTTATTTCTTAAAATAGGAAGAGGAAGGTAAGACGTGATTTAGATATTTAAAGTTTAAATGGCTTAGAAGTAGCAGTAGTCTTATAAAACCCAATATATGTCTCTGAAAATTCAATCTTGAAAAGTAGACACAGACAGGTAGTCGAGAACAAGAAAGTGGGATGCTGGGAATCAAACTCAGGACCTCATGCATGCAAACCATGTGCTCTACCACTAGAGATACATCCCCTCCCCCCAAGACAATTATCTCTAGTTTTAATTAACCATAAAAAGCCGGAAGTGGAGCTATCGACTGGCAGCTCCTGGTTCATGTTTGCAATCCTAGCTACTCAGGAGGCTCAGATATGAAGATCAAGATTCAAATCCAGCCTACGCAGGAAAGTCCATGAGACACTTATCTCCAATTAACCACTAAAAAACCAACATCTGTAACACACTTTTTTCTTATTTCTTTTTTCTCCCCAGTCTTGGGGCTTCAACTCTGGGCAGAGCACGGTCCTGAGCTCCATTTGCTCAAGGCTAGTGCCCTACCATTGAACCACAGCCCCACTTCCGGCCTTTTCTGTGATTGATTAGACATAAGAGTCTCGAAGACTTCCTACTCAGACTGTCTTGTAACCATGATCTTTATAGCTCAGCCTCCTGAGTAGTTAGAATTACAGGCATGAGCCACCAGCACATGACATTTTTTTCTTTTTTTTCTCAGTCATGGAGCTTGAACTCTGGGCTTGGGCGCTGTCCCTCAGATTTTCAGCTCAAGGCTAGTACTCTAGTCCTTGAGCCACAGTGCCACTTCCAGTTTTCTGGTGATTTATTGGAGGTAAGAGTCTCACAGACTTTCCTGCCCTGCTGACTTTGAACTGGGACTGCAGATCTCAGCCTTCTGAGTAGCCAGGATTACAGGTGTGAGCCACCGGCACCCGGCTGCACACTTGCTGCACACTGGTTTTTGAGTGGTTAATTTTTTAATCTAACCCCAACATTTATTTCTCAATACAGGTACAGGAAGATAAGGTGTGATTTAAATATTTAAAGTTCAAATGGCTTAGAAATAGCTCAGTAGTAAACCGTGTGAGTTCAGGCCCCACAATCGACAAAAAAAAGAAAAAAAATCAATAGTCATATAAAATCCAATATGTATCTGAAAACTCAGTCTTGAAATATCAACATGGTCAGGTAGTTGAAAATAAGTGGAGATACCAGGAACCGAACCCGGGACCTCATACATGCAAAGCATGGGCTCTACCACTGAGCTACATCCCCTTCGGGGGTACAGTCTTATCTCTGCCTCTAATTAACCACACAAAGCCGGAAGTGGAGCTGTAGGCTGGCCTCTGGTAGCTCGAGCCTAGCTACTCAGGAACGTGTGAGGACCAAGGCTCAAAACCAACCCAGACAGGAAAGCCCATCAGACGTTTATCTCCAATTAACCACTAAAACACCAGTATCTGTGAAACTCTTTTGTTTCATTCTTTTTTTTTTTCTCTAGTTTTGGGGTTTGCGCTCTAGGCCTGAGTACTGCCATTGAGCTCTTTTGGCACAAGGCTAATGCTCTATCACTTGAGCCACAGCACTACTTCCGGCTTTTGTGGGATTATTTGGAGATAAGGGCCTTGAAGACTTCTTGTCAGGGCTGGCTTGGAACCAGGATCTTCAGATCTCAACTTCCTGAGGTAGCTAGGATTACTGGCGTGAGCCCCAAGCAGCACACGGCTTTTTATTTTTCTAATTTTCTAACCCTGACATTTATTTGTCAATATAGGAACAGGAAGATAAGATGTGATTTAAATTTTAAGGTTTAAGTGGCTTAGAACTATCAATAGTCATAAAATCCAATATGTGTTTGAAAACTCAGCCTTGAAATGTCAACATGGGCAGGTAGTCGAAAATAAGTAGATGGAGATGCCGGGAATCGAACCCGGGACCTCATACATGCAAAGCACGCGCTCTACCACTGAGCTACATCCCCGTCATAGAAAGCCTTTTATCTCAACCTCTAATTAACCACACAAAGCCGGAAGTGGAGCTGTAGGCTGGCTTCTAGTTCATGCCTAGCTACTCAGGAGTTTTACATGTGAGGACCAAGGCTCAAAACCAACCCAGGCAGGAAAGCCCATCAGACGCTTATCTCCAATTAACCACTGAAAAATGGCATCTGTAAGAATCATTTTTTTTCTTTATTTATCCCCGCCCCCCCATACCGCCCCCCCCCACCCCGCTGTTCTGGCCTCAACACGGTCCCTGAGCTCAGCAGGGTCCCTGAGCTCCTTTTGCACAAGGCTAAGGCTCTATCACTTGAGCCACAGCGCTACTTCCGGCTTTTCTGGGATTCTTTGGAGATAAGGGCTTTGAAGACTTCCTGCCCAGGCTGGCTAGGAACCAGGCTCTTCAGATCTCAGCCTCCTGAGGTAGCTAGGATTACTGGCGTGAGCCTCGAGCAGCACAGGACTTTTTTTCTAATTTTTTAACCCTGACACTTATTTCTCAATATAGGAACAGGAAGCTAGGATGTGATTTGGATATTTAAAATTAAAAGGCTTAGAAATAGCAGTCGTCTTTTAAAACCCAGTATGTGTCTCTGAAACACTAAATGTTGAAATGTCGACAGGCAGGTAGTCGATTATAAGAAAGTAGGATGCTGGAATCAAACCCAGGACCATGAGCATGTGCTCTACCGTAACACGTTTATCTCTGTCTCTACTAACCACAAAAAAAGCCGGAAGTGAAGCTATAGGCTGGCAACCTGTGGCTCACGTTTGCAATCCTAGCTACTCAGGACGCTTAGATGTGAGGATCAAGGTTCCAAACCAGCCCAGGCGGGAAAGCCATGAGACGCTTATCTGCAAATAAACTCTAAAAGAAACAGCATCTGTGAGGCGTTTTATTTCTTTCTCTTCCTCTTCTTCTTCTTCTCCTTTTTTCCTCCTCCCCTCCCCCCCCCCTCCTCCTCCTCCTCCTCCTCCTTCTTCTTCCTTCCTCCTTCTTCTTTCTTCTTCTTCTTTTCCATTCTTGCGGCTTGAACGGGCCTGAGCATAGTCCCTGAGCTTCTTTTGTTGAAGACTAGAGCTCTGCCAGTTGAAGGACAGCGCCATTTCCGGCCTTTTCTGGAATTAATTGGAGATGAGAGTCTCAGAGTTTCCTCCTCAGGCTGGCTTGAAACCACGAACCTCAGGTGTCAGCCTCCTGAGGCGCTAGAATTACACGAGTGAACCACCAGCACATGACTTTTTAAAATTTATTTATCTAACCCCAACATTTATTTCTCAATACAGGCACAGGAAGATAAGGTGTGATTTAAATATTTAAAGTTCAAATGGCTTAGAAATAGCTCAATAGTAAAGTGTGTGAGTTCAGGCCCCACAACCGACAAAAAAAAAAAAAATCAATAGTCAAATAAAATCCAATATGTATCTGAAAACTCAGTCTTGAAATGTCAACATGGTCAGGTTTGTCAGGTAGTTGAAAATAAGTGGAGAGACCGGGAATCGAACCCGGGACCTCATACATGCAAACCATGGGCTCTACCACTGAGCTACATCCCCTTCAAGGGCACAGTCTTATCTCTGCCTCTAATTAACCACACAAAGCCGGAAGTGGAGCTGTAGGCTGGCCTCTGGTAACCCAAGCCTAGCTGTTCTGGAGTCTTACATTTGAGGACCAAGGTCCAAAACCAACCAGGCAGGAAAGCCCATGAGACGTTTATTTCCAATTAACCACTAAAAAATGGCATCTGTGAGACTCTTTTTTTTTTCCCCCTAGTTATTTCTCCCCGCTTTCCCCCTCTCCCTCCCCCCCAGCCTCCCACCCCCACTGTCCCGGCCTCAGCACAGTCCCTCAGCCCCTTTTGCTCAAAACTAGCGCTCTACCACTTGACCCACAGCTCCAATTCCAGCGTTTCTGAGATTAATTGGCGGTAAAGGTGTGAAAGACTTCCTGCCCAGGCTGGCTAGGAACCAGGATCTTCAGATCTCAGCCTCCTGAGGTAGCTAGGATTACTGGCATGAGCCACAAGCAGCACACGGCTTTTAATTTTTCTAATTTTCTAACCCTGACATTTATTTGTCAATATAAGAACAGGAAGATAAGGTGTGATTTAGATATTTAAAATTAAATGACTTAGAAATAGCAGTCGTCTTTTAAACCCTAATGTGTGTCTCTGAAAAGATAAAATCTTAAAATGTAGACAGAGGCAGATAGTCGATAATAAAAAACTGGGATGCTGGGAATCGAACCCAGGACCTTATGCGTGTAAAGCATTCGCTCTACCACTGAGCTACATTCCCATCCCGGCAAGACACTTGTCTCTATCTCTAATTAATCTTAGAAACCAGAAGTGGAGCTATAGACTGGCAGTTTACGGGTCCTGCTTGTAATCCTAGTTACTCAGGATTCTTAGATGTGAGGATCGAGGTTTGAAACCAGCCCGGCAGGAAAGCCCATGAGATACTTATCTCCATTAACCACTAAAAAACCAGCTTCTGTGAGACATTTCTTTCCTCCTCTTCTTCTTCTTCTTCTTCTTCTTCTTCTTCTTCTTCTTCTTCTTCCTCCTCCTCCTCCTCCTCCTCCTCCTCCTCCTCCTCCTCTTCCTCCTCCTCCTCCTCCTCCTCCTCCTCCTCCTCCTCCTCCTCCCCCCCCTCCCCCCTCCTCCCTCTCCCCCTCCTCCTCCCCCTCCTCCTCCCCCCCCTCCTCCTCCTCCCTTCAACAGTCTTGATGGACAGGGCCACTTCCTGCCCTTTCTGGGATTACTTGGAGCTGAGAGTCTCACAAATTTTCCTGCCCAAACACAATCTTCAGATCTCAGCCTCCTGAGGTAGCTAGGATTATAGGCATGCGTTTTTACTTTTTTAAAATTTTATCTAACTTCAACATTTATTTCTCAGTATAGGCACAGGAAGATAAGATGTGATTTAGATATTTAAAGTTTAAATGGCTTAGAAATATCAATAGTCTTATAAAAATACATGGACATTTTTTTCCAGAGGTGATGAAATGTAGACATAGGCAGGTAGGTGAGAATAGAACCCAGAACTTCATATTTGCAAAGCATGCACTTTACTACTGAGCTACATCCTCATTGCCATGGGACTCCTCTCTATCTCCAATTAACCATAAAAAGCCACAAGTGGAACTATAATAGGCTTGGTGTTTGTCTGTGGCTCATGCCTGTAATCCTAGCTCCTCAAGAGACTGACTCAAAGCCAGCCCAAGCACCTGAAAACAGGAAGTGGAGCTGTGGCTCAAGTGGTAGTGCTAGCCTTGAGGGAAAAAGTTCAGGGACAGTGCCCAGGCCCTGAGTTCAAGCCCCAGTAACAGGGCGGGGGGGCATTATGTACTTATAAATTGACATGTTGGCTTGAAAATCCAAACTCCTTTATACAACCACTGAAAGATTTTTTAAAAGAAAAGAGAGAGTAATAGGTGATATCAGAAAATAAATTATGACCAGACTGCGCCAAGCTGATAGGTAGGCTATTGAAATCAGTTACTTTTACTGATTGAGAAAAGTAGCTGCTGGACAGTATTTTCACAATAAAAAAAATTGTTTTAAAAAGAAAAGTAGCTGCTGGAGATTATGAATAGAAAAGTGGCACCATGTAATTTTTGTTTTGACAGGATCATTTTGGGTGCTTCTAAGAAAGAGCTGTCATCATAGCAGATAGGTAGCAGAACTGAAAATGTTTTGGATTCTGAGACTTCATTCTAAAACTCCCAGATTGCCCACATCCTATACCCCAAATTGACATGATAACCCATACTCTGGGCCTAGGAAGAGTCAGAATGAGAACAAAATTTCTATCAAAAACTAAGTTGGTGGGCTGGGAATGTGGCTTAGTGGTAGAATGCTTGCCTAGCATGCATGAAGCCTTGGGTTTGATTCCTCAGTACCACATAAATAGAAAAAGCCAGAAGTGGCACTATGCCTCAAGTGGTAGAACGCTAGCCTTGAGCAAAAGAAGCTCAGGGACAGTGCCCAGGCCCTGAGTTCAAGCCCCAGGTCTAGCAAAAAAAAGAGCTGGTGAAAACTGTAGAAGCAGGTTTTCTGCTTGATACATTTCAGGGTGGAAACATCACGGGTTCAACCGTGCAATGCCAGTTAGACATTCAAAGGGAGATGGGCAGTTGGCAAATAGTTGAGATGGGAGGAGAGATGAGGGCAAGAGATAAACTTGGCAGTCATCAGCACACAACTGAGAAAATGAAAGCAGAGAATGAGCTCTTACCAGTGCATGGAAGACACTAAAGTTCTTTCTTGGGAAGGG